TATACCCTTTGGTTGGTTGATGATGCATGGAGGGGATTGGAACCATGGCAATGAAATGATATACGAGGGAATGAATGTAAAACTAAAGTTCTCTCATGTAAACTATCATATAATTCACAATAAAACATTTTTTAAAAAATTAGTGCCTTTGGTCATTTTTAAAGGGGGGAGTTCATCACCCTGAGTTAAGCAACCATGTAATATTCCATAAATTTCTTAAAATGCTATGAAAACCTATGTATAAAATACTTCAAATTTTAAATTCGTTTAAAAACCAAAGGTAATATGAATTTAGTATTCCATATCATCTTATTCAGGAGACTTAATCATTTGTTTGTAAATTGTCCAACTTTTATATTTATTTGAGAAGAGATTAAGAAGTAGCAAACTGTCTATACAAAATTATATCCCTCCAAAATAGTTATTTTAATTTTACTTTATATTCATAACTGAGGCAAAAAAATCATAATGGTAGTGAAAAACATAATTATATAGCGACCAAACTGAGCTCATTAAAGGAGTTGACATACCTCTAAACATGAATGTTCAGAGTGTAGAGCAGGGAAAACCAGCAATTTCTAAATCCCTTGAAATTAAGTTTTTAAAAAGAGTCAATTTAGGACTTAGAGTTTGACCTGTAGTCATTACTGTTCAAAATCTTTTAAGTTCAATATTTTCCATGTGCTTCCAAAGGGGGGGGGCTGGTGGTACAGTGGGTTAAACATTGGGATGCTAACCACAAGACCAGAGGTTCAAACCCACCAACTACTTTGAAGAAGAAAAATAAGGCTGCGTGTTCCCACAAAGAATTACAGTCTCAGAAATGTTATAGAATAGGCGCCACAGGTTAATGCACTGCACTATACATAGGATTGAACCTCAGGGTCAGCAGCTCAAGCTTACCAGCTGCTCTTTGGATACCCTATACAGGGTCGCTACAAGTTGGAACTGACTTGAAGGCACTTAACAACAACATAGAGTCCATAGAGCCTGGTGTGGTGCTGTGGGTTAATGCACTGGACTGCAAGGTCAGTTTGAACAACAAGGTTGGTGGTTCAAGCTCATCAGCCCCTCTTTGGAAACACTATACAGGGTACCTATGAGTTGGAATCAACTCAAAAGGCAGTTAGCCACAACAACATATCGGCCCCATGGGTCAGAATTAACTCAATGACAATGGGTGGTATGTGCTTCCGCATGGTCAGTATTAGCTGACAGGCCACCTCAGGCCAGGTAAGCAATGAGGAAATACATCTCAGGGTAGGGGTGTGATGCTTCTCACTAACTAGTTCAGCCACCTTTTTTATCCTAATGATTGTTTTGGAAAAACATTAAGCATATTAAATAGTTTGCTTACATGAACATTCTTATTTGGGAAACCAGTTTTACAGTTAGGGAAACAACAAAGCTAAAGGTTTTTAAAACATATTTTTTTTAAGTAGAACAAGGACTCTTCTTCTAACAAACTGAGCAAACTCCAATTAAAAACCAAATCCTTTGCCCTCAAGTAAATTCCAACTCATAGCCAGTCTCTAGGATACAGTAGAAACTCCCTGTAGGGTTTCCAAGGCTGTAAATCTTTACAGAAGCAGATGGTTACATATGATGGATTCAAACCACCAACCCTTAGTTTAGCAGCCATGACAATAATTTTTATATCTCTTATTGACCTTAAAACCAATTTTCAAGTTATTTCTCAGATATTTAGCTTATAGAATATTTCACACTCTGCTCCGGGTACTTGCCAAACATATTATGAAATATAAATCCCTTGGAACTTTAATAATTTGACCCATAATATATGTTATTGCTTTAAATATGTTAATCTGAAATTTATGGGCCAAATTGAAGTTCTGTTTTTTAAGAAAAGTTTATCATCTTTAAGAGTTTTATGTCCAATGTACACAATTACTGTTTCAACCCTTCAGCATTAAAGCTTTCTTTTGAAATGTACATTGGCCATGCTTAGTACACACGCTTACCGCACATAAATAACTGAACAGATAGTATACGTAAGAATGATATGCAGACAATTTACCTAGGTCCCAAAGTGGTGTCCTTTGCCTACATAATTGGTTTGTCAGCATACACTTACATTCAACACATACGCACTTCACCTGATGCTATAAGAGTTTTCTGTATTTCAGAAGAAATAGGAGAGTAAAACCCCTAAAATTTCAGGTAAATCTTTTTAAATTTTGCCCAACGTTATCTCTACAGAAATACAGTATGGAGTACTGGTGTGACATTACAGGATAATGTGCTGGACCGCGAGGTCAGTTTGAACTGCAAGGTCAGCAGTTCAAACCCACCAGTCGCTCCTAGGAAACCCTATACAGGGTCTCTATGGGTGGGAACCGACACAATGGCACGCAACAACAACAACAACATACAGAAAGGCAGATAATGAACTACTCCACAGAAAAATAAATACATTGAGAAGTTCTATAAAATTTTGCCTCAAATTATCTATCTCCACTGGCTCTAGACATTGAGTTTTAACTGCACACCTGTATCTTTTCCCCACTTTACACTTAGCCCAAGTTTCAACAATATGGAGATAAAACGAAAACATTTTCCTAGTTTTCCTAATAGTCAACAAACATTAAGTAATGTTATTCTTCTATATCAATTTTTAATTTCATTTTGAAAACACGTTTAAGTAAAAGGAAATACAAAAATATGGAGCTGATATAAATACTTTCTGTAAGTGAAAACTGAAGTTAACATCCTAACGAATCATTTCACAGTGATTATCATTTCTGACTTATCTTTAATTTATACAGTTGTTTCAGGCAGCTGGAAGAATGTGGTTTTTAACCTAGTCCTTTGATTAACACCGTTAAAAGTACAGGAACCTAGAAGGTGGTAGGAAGTAAGAAGATTCATGTATTTATGCTGAATAATAGAACTCCTACATTATAATAATCAAAGTGCCTGAACAAGCGATACATTTGATTCCCTTGAGGCTTTATAATGCCTGATATTTCACTCCTGGATCACAAAAAAAACAAACAAAAAACTAATAATGATTAATTCTTATTGAAAATATTTGAAGAATAAATATACTTTAGCATTTTTCCATATATTCCAAACTAAAGATACACCTTAGATTCTAAATCCATTTTTTACCAGTTACCAGTTGCCACAGATATGATTCTGACTCACAACAACCCCACATGTATCAAAGAGGAACTGTGCTCCACAGTTTCCAAGTCTGTGGCCTTTCTTCCAAAGCACTTTGATTAGTAAGTGAATGCTTCACCATTTATGCAAATTCATCTTAACACATAACCCACTGACAGGGAGTCAGTTCCAGCTCATAGTGATGCTACATAGGGTTTCTAAAACTGTAAATCTTTATAGGAATAGACAATCGCATCTTTCTCTACAGAGAGGCTGTTGAGTCTGAACAACCCAAGTTGCAGCTGGCATCCCAATGCCTAACTCACAGCACCACCAACCTAACTGGAAATAAATTCATCAGTAGACTTATAAGAATATAAAGTGAAGACTTATGTTTTTCATTATCTAAAACATATTCTGAACTTCTAAAGAAAAGAATCAAACTGGGAAATGCAACAGTGACTATTATGTGTTATGTACTTTTCTATTCAAAAAGTAATTCTGCTGTAACTTTATGGTGTCAAAAAATCTGTCCATCATCCAAATATTTTCAATTCAAAATATTTAGTTACTTATGTGAAAATATTTCTGTTAGCTTTCATCATACAGCTGTATGAATCCATATATGAAGTCTCTAATCTTCCACATTTATTTGATGTTATCAGTAACCAGGTGGAAAAACGGAAATGCAACAAACACTGCCACTTGTGCGACGCAACGCCTGGCAAATTTTCTAGTTCGATCCAGCAACCATCTTGGTGCCATGCTCTCACCAACATATGGCAAGAGGAGTATAGCTGAGGTTTTAAACAGAGTACCAATGAATTACTTACCTCTATAGAGGATAACCCAACCCTGCAGTTCTCATTGTTTTTGTAAAAATACTCTAGTGTTTCCCTGTCTGCTTTAACAGTGCCTTTTTAATGACAAGTGTGAATATGTGAATCTGTGTGTTCCAAGTTTCAGTTATCAAACAGTTTTGTTATGAATTGTTTGAAACTAATTACTAACTAAAGTCTCATAATATAAATGCAGTGCTCCTAAAAATGGAATGTGCTTCATTTCTGTGGCTTATGTCTTGATGATCTGAGATGGAGAACAAAGGAGAAGATGGTAGCTTGAAAACTGGTAAATTGTCAACAGCTAATAGTAAAGTTGTGATTCTTAACATTTAATAACAAGACATTGTAATTACCCTTGTGAGGCAATCTCTTTGTGCATTTGATCTGAAAAATGTAATAAGATGATATTTTAAAAATAAATGAATAAAATCCTGTTAAAATGAACAAATCAGTCAAAATATTCTTTAAAATTATATTCTTTGTTATACTTGCTAGCACTGAGGTTATTTAAAAATAAAAAGTTATCTGGTCCATAAGGGTCTCATTGTGTATTATCACCAGTGAGCTTTTATGAAATGTACATGTCTTTCATTTTAAGTGGTTTTCAGCAATCTCAGTCATCTTCTTATGCAGGATATTGCAAAAGTGAATTATGTTCTTATTAATCATATCGACAGACTTGAAAAACTGAAAGCACAAAGACTTTTTGAAACTATGTGTTACATTTGTAGCTTTGAGTTTTTGAAAGAAAGAAGCTATGGTATTGGACATAAAATGTAACAATTTACTTTAAGTCACATTAGGGTATTCCTTCTTCCTTGGCTGTATATTTAGAAGTAGTAGTAAGTCATATACACTGCTTTCTTTACCATATCTAAAAGGATTCAACTTATATTTTCAAAAAAATAACAAGAAGCATCTGTCTTTGTGAGAATGTGATGCATTGGCTTAATTTCCACATTAAAAGTTTTCCTTATGAAGTGTGTGTTTGAGTACGAAATTATAGAATTGTTTTTCTGTGTGAATATATGTGAGTATATAGAGATTGAAGAAGATATTTGTCAGGAATTTTATGTTATAAATTATATATTGAAATACACTAGTGCATAAAGTCCTACTTGCGATGTTCAACTGTTGATCTTTTCTTCAAAATGGACTCAAGCCCAAATTTTCCAAATGAATAAGGCATAATTTAATTATAATCTCTGAAATTTAAACTTATTTAAAACGGTTTGTAGTCCTGGTGTGGCGCTGTGGGCTAATGCGTCAGACTGAAAAGTCATTTGAACTGCAAGGTCAGTAGTTCAAGCTCACCAGCTGCTCCTTGAAAACCCTGTACAGGGTTGCTATGGGTCAGACGACTGGATGATGCTTCACAACTACAACATAATGTTGTTGTTAAGTGCTATTGAGTCTGTTATCACTCATAGCAACCTTGTATAGGATTTCTGAGGCTATAAACCTTTGCAGGAGCAAAAAGCCCATCTTAAGTACAAATTTATTATATATCATACTTAAATACAATTTTTTTTTTTTTTTTAGTTTTTATTGTGAATTGAGTGATAATTTACATGGGAGAACATCAGCTTTACATTCATTCTATATATGGATGTATTATTTAGCTTTATTTTTATATAAACTCTCCAATTGATCTTTGAAGTCAAATGACTTTGAGTTAATAAAAAACGAGACTACCTTTGTTGTTGTTGTTGTTGTCAGGTGCCATCGAGACGGAACCGACTCATAG